TCATTACAACTTCAATCGTTACAATGAAAACAAAAAAAGATTGTCTTTTTATAAGACTTTTACACAATGAAAACAAAAGTTTACAACTCTCGTCAAAACAAACACAGAGATCGTTTATCGGTCTTCTGCTTGCGTGAGATCTTTGCCTGTGCCGGGGTTTATCCGTGGACCGCCTTAGATCTGGATCCGGTTGATGAAAAATTTGGCAGAGCTTCGTCTTCACCGAGGAAGTATTTGATTTGAAGCGCTGAGATCGACCAAGCGAAATCAGGGCTCTTCTCGAGATTAAGACCAAGCCTAATCTCAAGGGACGGACGGGAACGGGCGTCGGATCTCTCGAACTCTCCTTCTTTATGCCGAAGAACTCGCCAAGATCTGTCAACCCTCGCTGAAATTCGTGCTCCTTTGACTCCACAATCCGGCAGCACCTCCTCGTCTTGATAAGCAATCGCCCCCTCTGAAAGGAGGCCCTATGCTTGTATTTATAGGGCTTCGGGAGTGGTTATTTGGATGAGAACAAGTGATTTGGCCTTATCTTTAGTCAATAACAGCCTAACCACGTTTGTAGATGATATCAAGTCAGTTTGGATGCTCAGGAACCAACAAATCTAGAGAAAAACCATCAAAAACCGAACCGGGTCAAAACAGCGCGCGCAGGACAAGTCTGACCCGCTCTTGCGCGGGTCGGCGCGGTCCGACCCGCGCGAGCGCGGGTCCTTAGACTCGGATAACAATGTCTGTCGTCTTCTCTCTGTCTCGAGCTGTGTGTGGATACCTATAGGCATTTTTAGACGCCTACAGATACCCCCTCCAAAGTATTCCAGACTTCATTCTTTTATTGAGGAGTCTGGAATGCTTTGGATAAGATAGGCCATCTCCTCAATTTCGTAGAGTGACCTTGAACTATCTCAATTCTTAACTTCTTCAGTCTTCAATCTATTCATTGTTTCGTCGAATAGGTGAAGTTCTTCCGGCGCTGCGTTTATCGTCTGACCGCTGTCGAAATCTTGAACTGAGATTGGTGTGTAACTTTCTGAACTTAGCTCGTGCCATTGAGTTGGCTTTGAACTGATCCTCTCCGTCGAGAATTCATATCTGATTGTAACTGAAATCCTTGGAGTCATTTTTTTTGCCTTATTTTGGCGAAATTGCTGATGCGTTGACCGGCATCGATCTTTACTGTAACGCGTTGACCGGCGTTAACACAGTTTATACTCGTACGTTTGCTGGAGTCTACACAGTTTAAGCTCTTAAGGTATTGGAGCGTGACGGTCCCGAATGTTGGGCTGCAGGACCAACTATTAAAGCTGATTCATCTGCACGTGTGGATCTTATCCTGAAGTTTGTTGGATGTTCAAGTCATGAGACCAACTAATGAAGCTGATACGTCAATGACTCGCATATAGAATTTTTTTGGCAAATTCTCAGCCATCAACGGGTTTGATAAGCCTTTACCGACTACCGTTTGAGTCGGGCTAGCATGCGGATTATTTAAGTCCGTTCCGCATGTAACGTTATGCTAAAAGAGTTAACTCTTTTAGTGCTACGATATTGAATACGTAGACTTCGTCTTTCTCCTGTGAAAAGACTAAACAGCGACGTGTATCAGACGTAGACTTTAAGGTTTTTGGCAAACCCTCAGCCTTCAACGGATTTGGCGTGCCTTTACCGATTACCGTTTGAATCGGGCTTGCATGCGGATTGTTTAAGTCCGTTCCGCATGTGACGTTGTGCTAAAGGAATGAACTCCCTTAGACTTGATGCTACGATATTGAATACGTAGACTTCGCCATTGTTACGGGAATAGGCTACCCGGCAACGTGTATTAGACGCTGACCTATCCCTACTTAGGCTTCGGGATAAAAGTCCCCAGATTGGAATTCTGGTGTCTTCTTCAATCGGTGAAAGACTAAACCGGCAACGCGAGTTAGGCGTTGACTTATCCCTACTTAGGGTTCGAGATAAAATTCCCCATGCATAAAAGGCATGGATTTTTGTTGCTACGATGCTGAATACGTAGACTCAGTCATTTTTACGGGAATGAACCACCCAGCAACGCGGGCTAAGCGTTGACTTATCCCTACTTAGGCTTCAGGATAAAATGCCCCAGACTGGATTCTGGTGTCTTTTTCAATCGGTGAAAGACTAAACCGGCAACGCGAGTTAGGCGTTGACTTATCCCTACTTAGGCTTTGGGATAAAATACCCCAGACTGGATTCTGGTGTCTTTTTCAATCGGTGAAAGACTAAACCGGCAACGCGAGTTAGGCGTTGACTTATCCCTACTCAGGATTCGGGATAAAATTCCCCATACGTGTGAAGCACAGATTTTAGGAGTTTGGAAATATGATGTCTTCTCCTGGGGCAAAGACGAACCCGATGCGGGAGAGGAAGAATTTTATATCCTATCTCCCAAAGCTGAAGAGGAAGAATTTTATATTCTATCTCCAATTGCAAAAGGAAACTCAAAGTGGGATCTCTACTTCAAGAATCCTGGAATGTGAAACTAAGAGTGGGATCTCCACTCCGAGAATAAAAAAGATTCGGATAATCCTAACTGTCGAAAGGTTTGATTATATAGGTTTGATCACTCGATTTGTGGACCTCTCGTTCATTGAAGGAATCGAGAGGGGATTTTGACTGTGGTCCTAACTGTAGGAAGGTTTGACCAAGTGGATAGTGGGAGTGAGAGTACAAATCACAGTGGGAGTGTTGACTTGTACAAATCACTCAGTAGGGGTTCTTGGTGTTAAGTGATAATGACTTAACACGAAGGGGCTTGTCAATTCATCAAGGATTGATAGATCAAACTTCTAAGCATTATATCCGGACTCTAAACATGAAAGTGTTGAGTGCACAGACATAGCGGAAGTTTGAATGGATTAAACAAGAAAGAATTTTGGTAGTCCCACCGTCAATTAGTCTGATCGGTGGGGGATTCTGTGGTGGGAGACTATGAGTCGTCAAACACCAATGAGAGTTTTGTGAGGGAAAATTGATCCAATGAAGTGATCGAATCTCATCTCAGCAAAAGAGTGTTCGGAAATCATAATAGGAGTTTAGTGTTTATCACTTTGTTCATAATGATCGGGTTATCCCTAAGAATATTACATTTAACATTCTTCCGGGAACTTCCCGTTACATGAATTATCCACCCCAGCTTTCTTTGCAAAACTGGGTGTAACGAGGAGTAAGTTATCCTCAGTCGCATGTTCGGGTTATCCTTAAGAATATAAGATTCTCCAGGAACTTCCCGTTACATAAATCATCCACCCCCAGCT